ATATTTTGAAATTGTAAAACAAAAGGTTAGCCAAGCTTAGAAACCCACTCATCTGCCACATTTTTTATAGATACCACTCATGAGAAGGGACAGAGAAGTGCAGAGTAGAGGGCACTAAAGAAAGTAAAGTTATAACTTAAATTCCTATCGTGATTTCAAGTGTTTATACAAGTTGAAGGACATAAGTTAACAGACATGTAAACTATGAAAAGCAATGTGTCAACTTACCTGATTCAGAACATAATAGACTTTGAACCGGTCAGGGAATTTAGTAGCAAGGCCATTTAATTCTTCCTGCAAATACATAAAATTCAAAGTATGAATATTTCTAATTGCGTATTAAACAGAGGTTAACTTTATCTGCAAAGTGAATGTGGATGTATTTCTGTAAGCTCAAAGGTTTCAATGAAGTAGGGATATACTTATGCATTGCAAGGTCCTGCAAATTACCTTTAAAAGAATATCTTCGTATGTGACATTGGCATAAATGAGGTATACCTTTGTCTTGTCTTTTGGGTTTTCTAATATAGCTCTAGCAACCTACGCCACAAGAAAAACATAAATAACATAAAATGTCAAACTCTGAGTGATGGTAGTCCAATTTAAGTGCTAAAAGCCAAGACAACTGAAGGGGGAACTTGAATGTATGCGGAGAATTATTCTCAATGACATACCTGGAACATAGGAGTGATGCCAGAGCCTCCAGCAAGCATCCCAAATGCTCTAACTTGACCAGGTTGATACTTGAACCTCCCCTAGCAGAAGAGCATTTAATAAAATGCATTAGCAATCCAAGTTTGAGCACTTTCTTTCATTACAGCCGTAAGTGCAATATTAGTTAACCAACATTCACTAGCGTCCTGAAAAGTACCAAAGCACCGTATTTCACAAGGACATATGGACAGCAAGTAACTAGCAAAACCTTAATTATATAAGGATAATTCATTAAACCTATCTTTAACAACTATGTCTTTGAAAGTACCAACGGAAAGCAGTAGGACTACTGCACGTTAGACGGATGTGATTACAAGTGCTCTTTATGACTGTGCCATATTAGCATGAGCATCCAAACAGTATCAAATTGATTGCCACCTACATCAACAAAAGATGCATGGTATACAATCCATAAACTCTAACATGGACAAATGTGATGTTAATTTAATTTAGTTAGCAGCTTTTGCAGCATGCCTGACGAGAGAGCATGGGGACCTATAAGAAGAACCTCCATGCAGAAAGTTCAGTGGACTTCTAAGAAAAAGGGAAAGAAAAAGAGAAAGAACAAGAGGAAGGAACTGATGAAGATGAGAATAAGGAATGACAAGCTTTCCTGTCATTAATTCAACAATGAGAAATATGCTAAACCTTTTGACACAAACTGTAGAAATAAGATTGCTTTATCTAATTGGAAATCCTTCTTCTGAATTCCTTCTTTTCTTTCTTTTCTTTCACCTTTCACAATTTAAACTGGAGTAAATACATATTGCTTACAGCTAAACCCATATCTATTTGACTAGAAAAGAACGGTCAAGACACAAATCCATTGTCTTGCTGCCTCATTTCTCATTTCATTTATCAGGAATTGCTTTTTACAATATATATAGGTATCTTGGAGAGGGTATTCAGGACTTCACTTTAGTTAGTAAACTACGAAGCTAGTTAGATACAAATAGACTTCTATATGTAGGTATCTTGGAGAGGGTATTCAGGACTTCACTTTAGTTAGTAAACACCCAAGCTAGTTAGATAGAAATTGACTTCTTTCTTATTCACATCTATAATGAAAATCTACCCAATGATGGTCTCAACCATTATTAATGTCATCACCAACCATTATCTAATTAAAAGATAACATAAAGATTTTTTCTCATTAACTTTAAGGTCGGGTAGGATCAATAAAGACCAAAACAAAGAGTTTGCCAATGTGAAGATCGTCTTAATGAAGCAAAGACTGTCACTAGATGGCGAGGTCAGTGACTCAATTGAAGAAAACTATTTCAGAAAAAAAAAGAACTCTATTGAAGCAAACTGAGAAATGTAAGTGGACAAGACAAATGCCAATAAGGAAGAAAAAATAATTGGGAAAATGAAAATTTGATCGACATAAGATAATGACATGAGCTAAGAAGTATCTGGAGTCAAGTTATGAATTATTTGTGACAATAGCTAACCACTTTGCTTGCTAAAGAAATATATGCAATCTTTCAAAAGAGTATTAGAGAATATACCCACGAAGCAAATAGATTTGAAGAGCCTATGATAAGATCAGTAGAATTTTTTCAGACAAAATCAGTAGTATGTTAAGGCTATTTTCAAATGATAATCAGTTTATTAACACTTTGAAACAAGAATTAGAGACAAGTAAGCCCACAATGAACAGAATATTGTAAATTTAAAAGAAATAAGAACATACCTTGGGACCTTTCACAGCAAGATAATCACCAACACGCATCTCTCGGAAATGGTGTGACATTCTTCCTTGCGGATACATCTATTTATTGGTACAATCCAAGGGGAAACACCAGTTCAAAAGGGAAAACAATAAACGTTTGAAAAGGTTAATAAATCCAATATAGCCAAGTCTAGCATGAGAAATTTTGTAACATATACCTTAATAACTAGTTCAAAATGTCCAACATCAGAATCCAACGTTGTTGGGGTATAAGGTTTGATGACCTCTTGGCCTTCGCTATCCTTGCCCCTGTTTAAAAAAGTATATGCAAGAAAGCCTACTCTATTTATTTGAACTTTTCATGACCATTTAAGATATCAGACTATTTTCCTTAAAAGAAAAAGATAATTTGCAAATTACTGAAGAAATGACAGAACATATATGTCAAGAGTTGAAAACATTTCAGTAGAAAATGGGTTTGTCTGAAGCAAAAAGCAAACAGGAAAGGTCCAACTTAGCAAACCGAACCTGCAACTTATATGCTGTCCAATAGGAAGACCCAAAACTGAAGTAGGAGTTGGAAGCTCAAATGTGAACTTTGCCACATTATGGCTCAGTTGTGCGCGCTTGACAAGTTTAAACTCCTTGAATTTCTCAGGATCCAGGCAGCCTGCAAACCCATACCAAGTGTAAGCCAGTTTACGATTAATATGGCAAATAAAAGGCCAACTTTTGAATATCTAAAAGTACTTACATACATATATATATGTACACATATACATGCACCATCCCAGCGAAGGAGCTGTGTCATTCAATGTCATAGAAAAAGGGCACAGTTCTTTCACTCGGTTTTTTAAACTCACAAGATAAGGATAAAAGTGCTTGAAAACTTCTTTCTGATTCAAATTTACCTTCAAACAATTCGTTCTCCAATCAAATAAAAAGAAAAATACTTTCATCCACAAAGAGACCCAACATGTATTCGTTACAGGACCATAGAGTAGCATAGATTTAAGCAGTTTCTACATGTTCTCTCACAAGCAAAGGATAGAACCAACATCAACCATTGAAATTTGGCAACAACCAGTGCCGCGGATCCGGAGAAAACAACAATCGAAATTCTCCCACGGAAGAGAAAAGAAGGGAAGGCAAAGAAAAGAGAAGCTCAAGTAATTTACTGAGAGAGATCTAACCTTTGGGCTTCTTGGAGGAAAGCAAGTAGGCAGCTCCGGCACCAACAGCCAAAACAGCTACTGCAACACCCACAATAACCTGAACATCCATTTTTTGCAGTAACTCCAAATCCATGGTCGTATGAATCAAATCACGAATCGACCCGGTTGGAAAGACAGGATCTTTGAGAAGTCCGAGGCTAACCCAATATCGAAACACTTGAATCAGAAAATGGGTAGGTGTGGAAATGAGGATTTATTAGCAAACAAGCAGGTTTTTCTCTTTTTTTTTCCAGAAGATATGTCAGAAGGGGGTTGGTGAATGAAAAATGAGACGAATTGGGTGCACCTACCACCCCCTTGGGGCTTGAGGGCAAAAAGCTCTATTTTTTTTTTCTTTTGCCAAAAAAAAAAATGACGTAGCAACTTAAAATTATGAAAATATTATGTTGTATATTAGTATTTAAAGTTATTAAAAATAAAATTTAAATTATGTGACTTAAATCGCCAATGGTTTTGTTTCAGCAGGTGGTTCCCTTTGTTCGGTACTTGTTAGCTGCCTACCTCAAGTGTTTATTATGAAAATTTTTTGAAGCATTTGTAGCCTGCCTCATTTGGCTTGAACACCTCATATTGATCTATCAAACCACGAATCCACTCGGTTAGAAAGATAGGATCTTTGATGAGTTCAAAGCTAACCCAACATCAAAATGCTTGAGTTAGTATGTAGGTAAGAGAGAAAATGAAGATTACAAGATTAAAAAGATATAATCTTTAAAAAGTTCAAGGCTAATCCAATATCAAAAAGTTTGAATCAGTATGTGGGTAAGAGAAAAAATGAAAATTACCGAGTTAGAAAGACATGATTTTTACTCAATATCAAAATATTTGAATCAGTACGTGAATAAGAGATGAAATAAGGATTACTCCCTTAGAAAAACACAGGATCTTTGAAAAAATCAAGGCTAACTCAACATCAAAAGCTTGAATCAGTACGTGAGCAATAGAGAAAATGAGAATTACCCAGTAAAAAATACAGGACATTTAAGAAGTCCAGTAATAACCCAATACCAAAACACTAGAATCAATACGTGGGTAAAAGAGGAAATGAGGATTTATTAGCAAACAAGAACACAGAGACATTGAAAATACCGGTAAGCAATTTTTTTTTGTCTTTCTTTTCTAGAAGAAATGTTAAAAGGGGGTTTGTGAATGAAAAACTGGACGAATTGGATGCACCTACCAGCTCCTTGGGGCTCGAGGCAAAATAAATGCTACGAGTTAATAAGCTTTTTTTTATTATTTTTTATGATATTTGTTCAACAATTGAAGAATTTTATTGTAAGACGCAAAATTTAGAAATAATAAATACGTCGCCGTCAAACTTATACATATACATATATATACATATAATATACATATATATACACTTGGTCTCTCAGCAGCAGCAGCAAAGTTGCTTTTCTGGTTTGATTTGGCAAAGCCAAACGAAATGCCTAGTTGAGCCATTGCAGAACTAGCACGGTCAAGTCATCAACCTATGGCTCAGTTGAAGCCAGTAGAAGAAACGATGATAATCCAACCAGAGATTAGCCATGTTCGAAATACCCGGCAAGCTCTTCATCCAGGATTCTGTAATTACCACCAGGCGGAAACGCGATCCCCTGTTGTTGTAATGAGCATAGCGGTACATTCTTCTTTTAGATACGTAATATATATATATATATATAATTCAAGTATATTCAAGAAAATGAAGTATATGCTATTATATATGATAATATTAAAGTAGATATTCACATGTATGAGCAGAAGACTGTGAAGAAGGTGATGGTGATCTGCCAGAAGATTGTGTTGAAGGTGAAAATGAAATGCCAGAAATGGCGGAATAAGGCAATGAAGGTGGTCATTCAAACACAAGGTAATTAATTATTATATATACATATATATATATATTAGTATGATAATTTTTTATATAAATTTATATATTTCATTAGTTAGTTAATATATGATTAACTATAATACAAATTCTTTTAATGATACATTATAATATATAGATTAACTTCAACTTATAATTTTTTACTAAAAAAATAATATATTAAATAGATTATGTACATAGCTAAGCAAATGCATTAATACATGTATTTTTATACACATATATACATGGTTATGTTATATATATATTACGTTATATATAGATTAAGCAAATATTATTTTGTAATAAAAGTATATACATATATATAGAGATTAAGTAAATATTTAAAGGAGAAGATGATTAATTAATAAATAATTGCGGGAGTTAATTATGTGAGATTGGAAGGGGAGGAGAAAGACAAAATGGTAGTAATTGGAGATGGAGTTGACGCCCTCATGTTGACCTCCGTTTTAAAGAAGAAAGTGGACCCTATTCATCTTATCTCCGTTTGCAGCCGTTACACTTTGTTTGAATCTTGTTAAATGATATAATTTTAATGTATAATTCTCTACAAGTGTGAAAAAATTATATTTGTTTCAACGTCTAATAGTAATAAATGGTATAAAACCGATAAATTTGAAATAAATTTTAAAACTATCGAATCGGTTATATGTGATCGGAATATTACTTTTTTTTTTCTTTATCCTCTCATATAATATACTTAATTGTATTTTTATCCTTACAAATTAAAAATTCTATTTTCTCTTCTTATTTTATTAAATATAAAAATTTAATTTAATTATATGTAATAATTATTTATTTAAATACAAATATAATTGTATTGGTAAACAATTTTTTTTTTCATTATATACTTATTATATATTATTTACTATTATATATAATATGTATGAGAAAATTAGTAAGACTAAAAATACAACCATACCATCCGATTATCCAAACAAAAATATGTCATTAATATACATTAATATACAATCATCCAAACATAAAAAAATTTTGTCATTCTCATCTTGTGTTATTACCATCTAATCACTCTCACTGTCATACATTAATTAACCATAAGTAAAATTTATCCAAATAGGGTATTAAAGTAACTCTTTAATTAATTAACAATAAGTTTATGTACACATATATAGATTTACATTATATATTTCTCTTAAGAATACATGTGATATCCCGAATCCGAAAATTAGGATCGGAATGGGGAATTTTATTTTTTTCTAAGTAACAATAATATTAAGTTCCTAAATTTTAAATATTTTTAAATATTTTTATTAATTTTTTGAAATATATACATTTTGGGTGTCTTTAAAAATGAATTACAAAAGTTATGGCCAAACTGTAAATAAATGATGGTATGTTTGAAAGAAAAATTTAAAAATATGAGTCGAATTGCAAAACGAGAAAATATCGGCGATGTGTACGCCTAATCAGCAGTACGACGAATCGCCGCAGGTAGCATGACAAACACGCTGACATAAGCTCAACACGAGAAGCCATGCAGGCAATCTGCGTGCCAAGACGATTGAACGGTCCGTGTCCACTCTCGCACGCACGACTGTGACGGCCACAGAAATTCAAAAGGAAATATATATAATAATCTGAGTGCGTAAGCGAAATAAAAGATTAAGGTTAACATCCCTTACACAATAACTTAAAAGTACTAAACAATATCACGGAATAAGTTCTCTGAAATAAATACGAGAAATAAGAAAAATTAAGGAAACTATAGAGCATGTAGTATCTACTCGCAGTCTTCTTGTG